AGAGTGACCTTAGTGCGTCTGGTAAATTCAACGCAATCGTTCAAGTGAAAGCCCAAGTTGACCATTCTCCCCATTGCAAGATAGGCGCACGCATGCACGAGCTTCTATCCCTCCACAGCCCCCTCCTCGGGGCAATGTACGCGTGGAAGATGAGCGTGCTTTGCCGCGTCACGCCGAGCAGGGTGCCGAGCACCCTCTTTGCGCCATCTCGCTGGTAATGCTGAAAACACGCTGATATTTTCCCCGATATTGGAACCGCCAGCAGCAAGTGGTGTAGATAAATGGCTTGCTGTTTGAACACAATTGCATGTTTGCACACAGCTGTATGTGTGTTTTCATCATCATTATCATCATCATCAGCCTGACTACGTCCACTGCAGGACAAAGGCCTCTCCCATGTTCCGCCAGTTAACCCAGTCCTGTGCTTGCTGCTGCCAATTTATACCCGCAAACTTCTTAATCACATCTGCCCACCTAACCTTCTGTCTCCCCCTAACCCGCTTGTCTTCTCTGGGAATTCAGTTAGTTTTTTTCCGTGTAAAAATATTTTTGATAGCTTAAGGTAACCGGAAGATACAGAGTTAGAAAGAATTTAACGAGAACCGCTAATAAACCCTCGCCCTCGCTCAGGAGGAGGGTGGCTCACTGCTCGGGAGAAAGGTACGCCCGTCAGATCGAAGACTTGGACCACGTGTTTTTTTTTTTTTCCCTTACGATTGCTTTTAACTTTGGTAATAACCTACCGGGAAACTTCTAACTCATACAGTGCAAAGCCCTAGTTGTAAACCTGTCGCCGCTCAAGTTTCATCAGGACAGGAGCAATAGTACCGGAACTATTTCGTGACCAAAATTAAGCCTAATCACTAAAAAGATTAATTTGGTAACACCATCTCACAAAAGAATTCAAATTTTGTCCGCTTAATATATTAATAAACAGCACTCCATAGGCTAACCGGAGGCCCAACTCGGTACTCTCTAGGCCCTTAATTAAGGGGGTAATCAGCAGAAATCTCATTTCATTAAAACATTTTTATAAAAATAACCACAAACTTGACTGATACACCGCTGAAACCAACCCTTAGAACATAACAATTCGTTTCTTGTGAAAAAAGTATTTCGACAGCTTTAGCCAACTAAAAGGTATGCAGTTAGAAAGAAGTTAAAGAGAAACGCTAATAAACGTGAGGTGCCCGCATCTTCCCTCGCCCTCGCTCAGAGGAGGAGGGTGGCTCACTGCTCGGCCAAAAGGTACGCCCGTCAAATCAAAGCCTCAGACCACTTTTTTTTTTTTTTTCCCTTACGATCGCTTTAACTTTGGTAATAACCTACCGGGAAACTTCTAACTCATACAGTGCAAAACCCTAGTAGTAGACCTGTCGCCGCTCAGGTTTCATCAGGACAGGTGTAATAGTTCCGGAGCTATATCGTGATCAAAATTAAGCCTAATCACTAAAAAGATAAATTTGGAAACATCACCTCACAAACGAATTTAAATTTTCTCCGCCTAATACACTAATAAACAGAATTGCTTAATTTTGCGCACTTGCGAATGAACAAGTCTAGAAATGCATCTCTCGTGAGTGATGTGCCGCGCCTACTGACACACACTAACACATTCGAAAAATTCAGCTTAAGACTGTCTCATGACCGTTACTTCTGAATTTAAATAAGGTAGAAGTTCATGGGAGGATCCTTGGAACATGAGCTGGCGCTGGAGCCAAGATTTTGAAAAGCAAACTTATTCAAATGTTTGCTTCAGCAACACACCACGAACTTTTCGTTGCTTGTACCGTGTCCAACATGTAGAGTGTTTCAGCAGATATGTTCGAAGTCCTTTTAAAAATAGAAATGACTAGATCAATTAGGCAACATATGCAAGACTGTGTTTACTGCTGAGGCAGTCATGTGTTAAAATAACTACAGGTTGTGATTCGATAACCAAATATAAAAATTGGACCAGGGTTTATGGACAAGACAGCTAAAGCAGGGATCCCACCTCTAGGATGAAAGTGTGTGTTATCCGAGAAGCACACAACTAATTCTGTACATGCCAAAAACTTATGCACTCTAATGAGGGATGACAGCATTTTCACTGAAAATTGAAAATGAAGTGAGAAATATCACAACTACCAAATTCTTATTGCGGACTATTTACTATTTACTGTCATGTAAAAATTAAGCAAGTGTCCATTCTAGGCTGTGCCATGGCTCACTGAAGCACACTGTATGTTTTGGAATAGCTCTCGCCCACAGCACAAAGTGAATATATGTGTACCTAATATATAATGTAGTAATATATATGAGTGAGCTGCTTATTTTCGGTTATTAGCTAATTATTTTTGTAAACAGCTATTGTAACAAGCACCTGTGTACTTTAAAAAAAACCTCGTCTGTTTTAGCACTATGCAATGATAGTGCTAAAGCAGCAGCGATGGCGTAGTGATTAGAGCATCCGCCTCGCATGCAAAAGGTCCGTGGTTCAAATCCCGGTGCCGCACAGTTTCCAACCAGATAAAAAAATCCGCATAGTGATGGAACTGCATTACGGGGCCTGGAGTGCGGCCTTACCGGTAACCACTGCCAGGAACGCACTCCCTCACCAGAGAAGGATTGGCCACCCTGGTGCAGTATCTGGCCGCTACCTCCCACATGCAAACGTCAAACGTGTGTTTTCCAGGCTTCAGCAAATATTCAAGCACTTTGAATATTCAAATGAATATTGCAGCATACAAATGTGCTTCAATATGAATTTAAATTATTGCAAATTTCGAATTGAACAAACAAACATATATTAGACTGCATGTTACCCCTGTAAAAGTGGTTTCACTGCAGTGCAGGGCTAAACCGTAAATACAGCTAGACAATAAAAATCCGCACTGCCGCAAAGCCCCACTTCGAGGTAAAATAAACATATATTACTTGGCTTACCATCATTTCATTATTTTTTAAGTATGAAAGCTTCTTATACTGGCCTATATGCTCTAAGTAGAGTAAATTTTAAAACAGAACATATGTGACAGGTTATAACTAGCACTCTACCGAAAGTCAAATCTTGCTGCTATTTAATGTTGAAGCAGCCTGGAACGAAAAAGAATGACATTTTCACAGACCTCGTTCTAATTTTTTTTTAATGTTGCACAAATGAGTACGGTCACGACAAATATGGAAAATTTTTTTATATGTGCTGTATACTGTTCGAATCCCATTCAAAATGATTGGTCCAAATCACTAATTGCTTCAAGTTCACTTTGACCCTAAAATTTACTGTATGCACACTCCTGGTGTTTTCATTTCACAGGTTCCTTTGCGGCAGCATTAAAGGGCCACTCACCAGGCCCCATACCGAATTTTAGTTAGACAGTGGAAGTTGTTGGGTGTCCAATGAAAACATTTTGCCACAAAATTTTTTTGAATCGGTTCATCACAAGCGGAGAAAACGGGTTTTTTGAAGCAGCGCGAAACGAGGATCAGAGGAGGTGAGCTCGAAACCCTTGCCACTCCTCCTCATAGCCTTCGCAAGCCAAATTGCTTCCTCATCCTGCCATCCGACCAAGAGGTCACGTGCACATGACGTGCCCAAACAAGTCCAACTCCCAAGCACGCGAGCGGCGTTGCTTTGTTGTCCCGCGTTACTTTGTGGTCTTCTGCCTGGTTCTGCGGGATGGTTTGGAAACGCTGGCTTAGACGCCGTAGAATAGATGAGCACAATGAGTGCGCGAACGCGTAGGAGCGTTCCACGGTGGTCGTCTGCTCGATGCGCTGATCCCGGGGACACGAACGCATGCGAGATGCCGCACATTAGCCCCGCATCTCGTTGCAATTCACGAGAGAAAAATGGCAAAAAGATGCTCACATTCTCTTATTGCGTCTCATTATTTATCTAGAGCTTATTAATCTCTTCAAGCAACAAAATTACATAAACTATGCATGCCATGTTAAATAATTATGGCCATGTCACGTGCCACGGCTTGCAACGTCATAGAAGAGTCGTCTACGTAGAGGACCAACATCACTGCATTGCCGTGTACGCAGGGCCATTTATACGCGCACGTCATGCCCTCATTCTCTATGCCCAAGCCGGCAGAAGGGAGGGGGAGCAGCGTTCATCTTGAAATTTGACCCATTTCCACGACGCGTAGTGTTGCAAATTTTGGCAGACACGATCATGAATGCCTCGTCTACGCATTGCGCTTGTCAGCTCAAAATTGTCAAACCTGGTGAGTGGCCCTTTAAAGTTTAGCCTGAATGGCACAAACGGCAGGGTTTCCTTGCCGATGGTGATCAGCTTCTGCTTAAACAGTGCACATTGCATTTACTACTGTGTCACCTTGTTGTCTCATGCAGCACTCTGTTTTCCTCATGATCGTGTCAATCTTCACTAAGGTTGTTTGCTCAGTCAAAGCAAGGGACGCTCAATGCGGGAACAGGTGTATGATAGCTGGGGAGGTGGAAGTGATTTTAAATGAAAAGAAGATAAAAGTTAGCCCCATAACTGTTTCTCAGGGGGAGGACACCTCAACAGTAGCTCACGAGGAATGGGGGTAAGGAGGCATTAAAAGAATAGGATTAAAAGTTATAGAGATAGAGCGAGGCGGAAGGAGAGAGCGAGGCGCAAAGACAGCCACATACGGAAGTAAGGAGAATATAGGAAAGATGGACACGGTCGCAGGAGTCCAAGGACGGGGCATTACTCGGCGAAAGCTCTTGTCGGCGGCAGAAGATGGCGTAGGGCGAGCCAGTCGGCCAGAGCTGCGCTGTCGTCGGAGATGATGGGGTCACAACAGGTCGGCAAGAAACCCAGCGAGTGAGCTGGGTTTCTAGCGAGTGACACTTAGACATTTGTGTCATAAAAACAAGTATTCTAGCGAATGATCAAAACACACTATGACGATTTCTTTTCTTTAAAGATTAGAATACACACAATCAATTTTTACAAACAGAAAGAAACACTGAAAACACAGTAACAGTATATCGGTAAAAACTTTGATGGGTCCTCGTACCTTTTGTGAGCCCTATGAAATGCTGCCGGAGCTTGGCTTTCTGGAATCTTGTGGTGTTCCCTGGTGCTGCTGCTGAACTCAACAGGTGTCTTTGATGCGTCCAGCTCACAGGAGAGTGCTGGAAGAGAGAGGTAGTTGATTCGATATCATCAATCACTACTTCAGGGACTGATCATCATTGGTACGAAATAAGTATACTGGGCGTTAGATATTCAAAACATTGGAGATATTTATTCTTGTGCTCATAACAAGTACTCAGAGGTACTAAAGTTTGTGACCTGACATAAAATATGGGATTTGTTTCTGCTTACATTGAGATTACTTGCAGATGATGGCTGTGGCATCATCTGCAAAATGCAAGTTGCAATCGTAAACGCACTGCTCACTTCATCGATGCGGCACCACTTGAAAGCTTGAGTATCGTAACCTGTGAAGATGCCTTTCATCAGCTCGCTTTTCTGCCTCTAGGTGGCACCACAATCAGCTGACTTTCGTGATTTAAGGGAATGTTGCGACTGTATTCACACACATGTAGGCGTGTGGGCAGTTTCAGAACACGTACGACTGAATAACTCTGGGCGTCAATCGGCATGCATATCTGCAGGTAATGTCGACTCTACACTGTGGCTGAACACAGCATGAACGGTGTCCCATCGGAAAGTGTCTGAATACATACTGAGCAATGCATAGTCAATCGATGAAGAAAAAAGACTCACAAAGCAGGTAGCCATACGGTGCAAACACATGTCTCTGCACAAACTGACTTCCACCTAGGACGTGCTCCAGGTTGTCTTGAACGTCTTTTTGCAGGGCAGTCAAGTGTCTTCGAGCTGCAATCAAAGCGACAGAGACAGTCCTTACATCAAGCATTATGTCGTGCAGGTATTCACTAATGATAAATTATTAAAGTTATTGCCTCAAGTGCTTCATCGGCTGCTGGCCTTCAAAAACACAACCTGCAGTACAAAAACTCGTGCTACCTAAATAAATACAGCTCATTAACATCAGGGTTTTACCTGCATCATACCCAGAAATTCCACAAGGCAGTCAAGTATTCTGTCGCAAAGCCACACTGCTTAGAAAACGCCTTGGCCAAACGCCCTACAAAGTTGTGATGTTGACCAAGAAGTCACATGAACAGATGCTTTACTGTGAGTCAAAGGCACACGAATGTGCCACGCATCACACCGTGTGAATTGCTTAATAAGTTGCTTGTTGTAAGCTGCTATCCTCAGGCAAATTATGGTATAGTGGGTACTTTGTAACTGCACTCACAGTAGGAAGACTGATAAAGCTTATAATGGGCTCTAAGGCTGCTCCTCTGTCTTAGCCAAACTGGGTGGCCTTTGCCTTTCAGTAGCTGTCTTAGGCGAATGCATTAACGGACCCCGTGGGTTTTCGAAACGTCCTGCCATACAAGGGATAGTAGTTACATGACATTATTAAACTTTATTTTTACTTTTTGCAGTCACTACACAGTTTTGCCACCTACCCTTTAACTAAGATGATAATTGTTTAAATTTTAAAAATTATTTCTTTCACCTGACGTTGTCTCCCACCATAAGAAAAGTGATCATAAATAATGAGCAAATATTGCATGCCCCTTGTACATTGCTTTGAAATCCCTCACTAAAATATGTGCCTAACATTACCTGCAAATTGACACACTAGCAACAAAGATTTATATTAACACTAACAAAGTCTACTACAGGTTCCTGGTTTTATCGAGGGTTTCAGCACCATAAATTTGAGAAAACTATGCCCAAACCCAGAGCCATCTTTCCCTTAGGATTCTCAACTTTCCCGGCTATGGCAGCTACATTTTGAATGGAGGCAAAAATGATGTGGGCCCGTGTGCTCAGGTTTGAACCCCAGGTGGTTCAAATTCCAGGAGCTCTTCACTACGGCATCTCTCAATCATTTTATAGTTTTGGGACGTTAAACCCCACATATCAATCAATCAATCAATTGATCCTCAACTTCCTTGTCATCTCTTGCAGTTTTAGGCTGCGTATGTTTGTTTGGTTTCTTCGCTTCTTGTATCAGAAACCTCTCACAGTACTCCAAAAATTACGTAATACTGAATGCCTTGGAATGTCCTAACGAATCAACCTCCTCTTTAAAAAATGGCTGCATTACGATGTTGTAGCTCTCGCACGCTGCCTGCTCTGAGTATTAATTAGGAATGTGCAAATATTTAAAATTTCAAATATTTTTCTAATAGTGTTTGCTATTCAATTCAAATTGCACTTGAATCATACTATTCAAACTGGTCTAACTTCTTGAAAACAAATACGGTCCATGCCTAATTTGCGAAACCCCCTTTGGAATTACTAGGCTTCACCCCATCCTAATCTCCTTTTAAGCTGTCTTTTAAGCTCTGCTACGCTAGCACATTTATTGAATCAAGAAAACAAAGAGATGATAGATGTGGCAGCGGTGGGGGCTAAATAAACGCTGTTTTATACTTGAAATTTTGGCAGGAAGTTCAAAATATTGAACGCTGAAGATATTTAGCATAATAAATTTCAGATGTTATTATATATTGACGTCTATGAGACAGATTTGGAGGTACAAACTCAAAGAGATCACACACTTGTTCACTAGATCAGTTGTGCTTACACAGAAGTTGAAAGAGGAAGAAAGGCTGAGGAAACAGCATCGCTTTGGTTCGACTTCAACGCAAAATTTTGCTGAAAGCAGAAGACATACATACCACTACAGTCAAGAAATAAGAAATAAGCGTGCATACGCAAGCGACCCCACCCAATAGAGGCGTGTGCGCATCACATGGCACGGATCGTGACTTTTATAGCGTGTGCCCCTTGTGCCATCGTGCTAGTGATAATGAGAGCATGTTGAAGTGCCACCAAGGTGTGAGTACCGCCAAAGGCAAATGGTGTTCATAAATGGCTCGCTGTCAGTGTGCTGAAAAGCGTACATTTTTTGGCCGAGTCGTTTGGTGTTATGCACTGCGGAGCAAGGGGTCACAGGTTCAATTCCAGCAGATAGAACTTTTTCTCCTAGCTTTTCTATGCTATCAGTATATATTTTACATCGTATCTGTGACGGGAATACGTCAGTGGAGCTTTGGTGGGCCCCAGAATAAAACACTGACAAAAACACAGTAGAGGATTATCACTAGTCTGTCACACAATTTATCTACCTCCACGACCTCTTGCTCTTATTTATTTATTCATTTATTTATTTTTACCCCCAGGGTACACATCACATTTCAGAGGGGAAGGGCATGCACAACAATGAAAAAACAAGAAATACAAAGCAAATGGCATAAAAATGTTGTCACTAATTGTGGTACAAAGATTATTAATCCTAACAACTCACATCGTAATAAAGCAAATGATAACACTAATTTTATTTTTATTACATGGTGAAGGCACAAAGCAATACAAATAAACTGTTCAACAAACATACAGGTGGTAATTAGGTAATCATTGTTTTAAGGACATTCTTAAGTTGAATGGATTCATTGATGCTTGTTATTGATGCAGGCAGGGAATTCCATTCATTACAAGTTCTTGGGAGATATCATTGGGCATATGTTACTGTGTTGCAATAGGGGACTGTGACTTTTTGTTGGTGATTACGGCGAAGAGAAATGAAGGGAGCAGCTTGGATTAAACGGGAACGGAGTTTCGGATTATGATAGAATATTTTATGAAACAGGCAAATGTGAGTGCGCTTTCGGCGGGTAACTAGTGGGATGAGGTTTAGAGATGCCTTCATTTGAGTGACACTAGCTGAACGATGGTAGTTAGCCAAATTGAAACGAGCTGCACGATCTTGAACAGATTCCAACATGTGTGATAATGTTACCTGACCGGAGTACCAAACAGATGAAGCGTATTCCATTTGAGAACGGACGTATGTAGTATATAGTAATAACTTTAGTGATGATGGAGCGAGAAAGAAGTTTCTTTGAAGGTAACCCAGTGTTTTATTAGCTTTGGACGTTATATGTTCTGTATGTAATTTCCAGGACAAAGTGTTAGTTATGTGGACGCCGAGGTACAGGTAAGATGTTACAGTTTCAAGGGGGTGACTGTGAAGAAAGTAAGTTGGACAAGTTGTACTCGACCGAGAAATCCTCATAGACTTGCATTTTTTAATGTTTAGTTCCATTTGCCAAATATGACACCAATGAAGTATGTTATTGAGATCAGCCTGTAGAGAATGAATATCATTGTCATTAGATATGTTACGGTAAATCACACAGTCGTCAGCGAACAAACAAATTTTGGAAGTAACAGAAGAAGGTAAGTCATTTATATAGATTAAGAATATACAGTAGGCCAAGTACTGATCCTTGAGGAACCCCAGAATCAACCGGTGCAGTGAAAGAATTAACATCGTTAGTGTTGACAAATTGAACACGAGAAGAAAAGAATGCACAAATCCAGTTAAAAACTGCAGGGTCAATTTTTAGAACACTTAGTTTATGTAAGAGCAGGGAATGGTTAATTTTATCAAACGCTTTAGCAAAGTCAAGAAATATACAGTCAGTTAAAGAAGCAGAGTCCAAAGATAAATGCAAATCATTAGTAAAAGAAAATAGTTGACTATCACAAGAAAAAATCTTTCGAAAGCCATGCTGAGTTGAAGAGAAGAAGCTATTATCCTCTAGACAATTAACAAGATGATAAAATATTATATGTTCCATTATTTTGCATGGTACACATGTGAGAGATATAGGACGATAGTTAGATGGACTACGTTTATCACCGCCTTTATGTACTGGAATAATCGCAGCAGTTCTCCAGTCTTCAGGTTGTACACCATCATGATACAATTGTGAAAATGGGCACGGCAGCATGGGCATGGCAGCATGGCTGGGATGCGTCTCGCTAATTCGTTCATCTATCTCGTGCAGCTTTTTGCGGCACTGTTGACTTCGTCAGCGGTGCACAATGGATCATGTGCTCGGACACATCCTGCCTCGACCAAGCTAATCGACGGCATCGACTGGCATGAGGCGAAGGCGCCATTCAACCCTGTGATCTGGACGCTACCGCACATGCCCTTGTCGACTCCGATTACTTCGGGGAACGACCATGGCGCCACCACGATGACGCATTGGACCCACAAGGCTATGAGAATGCCGCACGACCCTCGAACAGCTCATGGGCACGGCAGCATGGCTGGGATGCATCTCGCTAATCCGTTTATCTATCTCGTGCAGCTTTTTGCGGCACTGTTGACTTCGTCAGCGGTGCACAATGGATCATGTGCTCGGACACATCCTGCCTCGACCAAGCTAACCGACGGCATCGACTGGCATGAGGCGAAGGCGCCATTCAACCCGGTGATGTGGACGCTACCGCACATGTGCTTGTCGTCTCCGATTACTTCAGGGAACGACCATGGCGCCACCACGATGACGCAATTTACCCACAAGGCTATAAGAATGCCGTACGACCCTCGAACAGCTCATGGGCACGGCAGCATGGCTGAGATGCGTCTCGCTAATCCATTCATCTATCTCGTGCAGGTGAGGAAAAATTATGGCAAGTGCTTCCGAACCAGCAACCCTTACATAGTTGTGCTGCCGTGCCCATGGCTGATTTGTTCTATGTTTTGTGATTTGGGACCGTTTCTTGTGAAATTATTGCTTCTTGCTGGTGATGTAGAGACTAACCCTGGACCTGATATGACGCAATTTTCCAAACAGCTCCAGCAGATAGCAAACGATGTTAAAGAAATGAAAGAGGTAACATTGGCATCCATTGACAAGAAGTTGGAAAGCCTACCCGCTCTTGAAAATGAGATATCATTGTGCATGAGGGAAATCACATCATTAAGAAATCTCGTATCTGCACTAGAGATGAAAATAGACGATTTAGAAAATCGGTCTAGAAGAAATAACCTCATAATACATGGTATCCCCGAAGAAAAAAATGAAGACCCGAGTTCGCTTGATACCATTGTTAACGGGAAAATAATAAGTGACATCCTAAAAACAGAACCTGTCGCTATAGAAAGAATTCATAGATTAGGCAAACCAGCTACAAAGAAGGTTAGACCAGTTATACTCAAGCTTCTTGATCACAGAGACAAAAACATAGTGCTTAAAAACTGCTTCAAATTAAAAGGCTCTAGCTTTGCCATCAGCGAAGACTTCTCAAGTCGAATTCGTGATGTAAGAAGGAAATTATGGAACTGTGCAAAGAAATTCAGACATGCCGGAGATAAAGTCATAATGAACTACAACAAACTGTGCATAAATGGAGAACTGTTTATTTGGGACTGTGAAAAAGATGACATCGCTCCTGTGGTATCTAGCTATAATGCCGATGATCGGCCAAAAAACAGTCAAGACGATGCACGGACATTGCGCCTGCGCCGCCAAAATACGAATCAGAAATAACGTTTTTAAACATCAATGCGCATAGCATTTTAAACAAAAAAGACTGCCTGGAAGATCTGCTCATTTCGCTAGAACCAGAATTCATAGGTATCACTGAATCATGGCTATCCCCTGATATCCTAGATGTGGAAGTAACTCCTCCAAATTACGCGATTCTACGCAAGGATAGAGAGACATGTGGGGGTGGAGTTGCGTTACTAATAAGCAAAAAATTAAATTTTACGCCACTACCTCATGTTGAAGAAGTAGAGGCAATATTCTGCAAGCTTTTACTCAGCTGCTATTCAATAATTATCGGTTGTGTTTATCGAAGTCCCGCTGCTGACACTGACACCATGCTTTTGTTGTACAAATACATGCATAATCACCTTTGACAGGGCCGAGTAATCCTTCTCGGGGATTTCAATCTACCTGATATCAACTGGTTAACAATGGTGCATCATTCCACCCATTCATATGTTATTTTAGATATTACGTTAGACTTCAACTTACACCAAGCAGTTAATACGCCTACTCGCAATCATGGGTTTGGTGGGAACATACTAGATCTGATTTTCTTGAGCAGTCCCTTTCCCTTGGAAGAAATAGAAATAGAGGTAACAGATGAAATATCGGACCACAAGATGGTGATGTGTAGTATACCAGTCAACAACAAAGGCTCCAAATCGGTGCTTAAATCCTTTCCCGACTTTCAGAATGCTGACGATACTAGCATTATCGACCACCTTTCACACGAACTATCATCCTTCACCGAAATTTCCTGCCAGGCTTCAACTGATATTGAAATATTATGGCATACATTCAAAGATATTGTCTCACCTTGCATTCAAAAGTTCGTACCCTTAAAAGCAAAAAAGATAAAGAAACATAACCCATGGATCACGTGTGACGTAATTCATGCAAAATGAAAAGTGAAGCGACTAAGAAAATCACTTAAGAAAAAGTTTATTACGTCAACAAAAAACAACCTTGACGATGCCATCATTAGGCTAAAAGTAACTTCAAAGGCCGCAAGAGAAAATTTCTTTAGTCACAAACTGAATAACTTCGTAAAAACATCACCTACAAAATTCTGGAACTACCTCAACCCTAAGTCATCCGATGAAAAAACAGCTTCCCCCAGCGAAAGCCTAGCTACTGCGAACGCTCTTAATAATTATTTTCAATCAGTCTTCACACGCGATGATAGCAGTACACCTCATATGGAGGCATGTGCTAAGAGACATATAGAACCTATTAAAATCACTGAGTCAGGCATCCTTAATCTTTTGCTTAATTTAGATGCCAAGAAAGACTCTGGGCCTGATAATATTCCCAACACATTTCTGAAGAAGTACGCAGAATGGGTCGCAAAGTATTTATGTTTAATCTTTGACAAATCGCTAACAACTGGTAGGCTTCCAAAAGAATGGAAGACCGCTCAAATCACTCCTGTACACAAATCCGGAAACAGGCATGACCCAGCTAATTTCAGGCCTATCTCAATAACATGCGCAGCATCTAAAATACTTGAACACGTTATTCTCAAACACATAACATCGTTCCTTGACGCTGAGTCTATCCTAACGCCCTTCCAACATGGCTTTCGCCGTGGATTGTCTACAGTGACACAACTTTTGGAACTTGTTCACGACCTGTCCCTGGGCATCGATTTCAGAAAACAAATTGACCTTATCCTACTAGATTTTTCAAAGGCCTTCAACCGAGTGACTCATCAGAAACTAATTTTGAAGCTTAAGTTAATGCTAGGTAATGGCCCCATAATTAGTTGGATAACTGATTATTTAAGAGATTGTTTACAGTTTGTTGAAATTGACGGCCAGTCGTCTGATACTGCCCAAGTGATATCCGGTGTACCACAGGGTTGTGTTTTGGCTCCGTTTCTTTTTTTAATATTCATCAACGACCTACCCGCTAATATACATGTCAACATCAAACTGTTCGCAGATGACTGCATTATCTATAATATAATCAACACGCATGAAGATCATGTAGCCCTTGACCGCCCTTTACAAACAGTAACGAAATGGTGCTCCGATTGGCAAATGACATTAAATGCAAAAAAATCAACCCTACTCATAACGTCGAGAAAAAGGAATAAATCATTATTCCCATATAAAATTAATGACACGGAATTAAGGGCCATTACTGAACATAAATACTTGGGATTACCAATAACTGAGGACCTTAGATGGAGTAGCCACATAAGCCACATAACAGCGACCGCGCTCAAACGACTCTTTTTCATCAGACGCCGCCTCCGTTTAGCCCCCATAGATACCAAACTGTTGGCTTATAATAGATTTGTCCGACCGATACTAGAGTACGGAAACATAGTATGGTTTCCTTTTACTAAACAAGACATCACTAAACTTGAAGGTGTACAAAGAAAGGCAATACGGTTCATTTTAACAAGTATGCGCCACACGAATCACCTACGGTGGTAATGGAAACTGCTGGTATAGATACTCTTCAGCGCCGAGCCAGAATAGCTAGACTGAAATTTATGTACTTAATAGTTCATAACAAAGTAAATATTGTTCATTTTTAACAAGTATGCGCCACACGAATCACCTACGGTGGTAATGGAAACTGCTGGTATAGATACTCTTCAGCGCCGAGCCAGAATAGCTAGACTGAAATTTATGTACTTAATAGTTCATAACAAAGTAAATATTGATGCCACAAACTTCATAACAAGCTTACAAACACACCCTACCAGACATAACCATACGCAGATGCTCACTGAATACACCTTCCATACCGACTGTTTTAAAAATTCATTTTTTCCATTGACCATAAGAGAATGGAATAACCTTCCCTTACATATCATAGAAAGCACATCACTAACACAGTTCTTAACTGCACTTGAAAGCGTACCTTGAACCCTGTCAGACAGTTTTTTTTTTTGTTGTTGTTGTCGTTTTCCCCCTCCTATTGATGTACGAAACTACACCTGTCACAGTTCTTCATGCATTGTCTCTCTTACTTTTTTCTTTTCAAACACCAGAAACCCCACAGTATGCATTTGTTGCCTCTCTCTAAAGCACCACTGTGTAAAAATGCTTACACCATAGTCTCACAATGCTTTTTCTTTTTCTCTTTTTCTCCTTTTTTTTTTCTTCCCTTGCCTACGGTTTTATTATGCGAGCCTGTTTTCTTTATATTATTGTGCTACTAATCGCTCTTGTGTTGCACTTTTTTTATAATTAGTTGGTGTTTCCATTGTATCACAATTTGTGCTGTTGTATTCAACTATTGTATAAGCCCTCCTGCTATGATCCCTTTGGGATTGGCAGTATTTACAAATAAATAATAAATAAAATATGCACTTCAGGATGATGAAACTGTATTCTTTGGTATTCTTTAAAAATTTATTATTAATTCCATCAATACCATGAGAAGACGTTAGTTTTAGGTTGTCGATAATCATGACGATGCCATGCGGGTTAAACATGATGGGATCCATCTCAAAATGATTGTACGACTGAAGCTCAGGACATTGGGTATAATAAGATGAAGAAAACGACTTGATGAATGTATCGTTTAGCACAGTAGAACAAAGATGGTCGGGAACAGGATCGCCGGTGGGTGTAAGCAATGATGCTTTACTGGTGCTAAGTGGTTTCATTATACTCCAGAAACGTTTAGGGTTAGTCTTCAGGATGTTCGGCAGGGTTACATTGAAGAACGAGGATTTAGTAGCCTTTAGCGCTCGCGAATATGCTAAAGAGGCTGTCTTGTACTTTGTCCAGTTGGCCGGTTTAAGTGAATACTTAGCGATTCTAAAAAGTCTTTTTTTCCTGTTAGAAAGTCGGTTTAAGTATCTGTTATACCATGGAGCTTGGTTATTGGAGTACACCCGGCGAAGAGGGATATAGAGATGAATTAGTTCAGACACTTTATTACGGAACAAACACCGATTAGTTTCTACTGAGCGCCCAAGATAACCTGGTAAGAAAATGTCAAAAAGGAGCACAGTTCATTATTAATGGCTAGATAGTTACCCTTGTTGTAGTCTCTGATGTTCTTGGACTGTTTTACTGATGGTGCATGCGACAAATTGTCTTGTTTGTCAAGATGCCCTGATGCCTTTCTGTCCTTATCCTGAGTAGTGCTCTGTTCGATATTATCCGTTTCTCACAAGTACCAACACAAAAAGAATGTGAAAAAAAAAAGTTGTACCGACCATTTACGGCTCGTGCAGCGTAGAACTGGTCGTGAAACCATGGTATGTGCTCTTCCGGAAAGTCCAGGCAGGCAATACGGTTGAGTGTGGCCAGCAGCTCACGTACGTGGTGATCATTTCGCTCATTCTTAACAGATCCTGCGTTATTAAAGAAACATCGTAGAGATGTGCACCTTGAAAGAAAGATCAATGACACAACTGATAAATGAGGCAATGATGCAGCAGTGAATGACGATGAAGGAATAAGGAACGTGCAATGGTGTCCTGAAAATGTATGCTCCAACTTACGAAATTACACTGAATGTGGATGAGCTGGCACAGTCATCTCCGTGATTAAAAGCACCACATTATGCACCAAAAATTCATGTATCACTTAATGCAGCAAAGCCGTGAATTATAAATAAACATTTGCAAATGTTCGGAAATATTGACAGAACAAATGAATACTGCAGTGTTCGAATTTGCTGTGATATGAACTCAATATTTGTAAAATTTTGAAGCATTCAAAACAAATGAGTACTAACTACATTTTAGAGCCTGTAACCTGCCTGAAAAGATAAGTTCACTGCAGTGTCGGGCTGATAAGCCTAATTGTCTGTTCAGGAAAATACACATTGTCATGAAGCCACACTTCGAGCTCAACTGTGCATGTTACCAACACCCTGAATATTTTTTTGTAAGTTTAAAAGCTCATTAAAAAGAATATTGGCTATGTGTGGCAAATTTTCACCTTTATAACTTGCACACACCCTGCCTCTATAAAAATCCTACTACTGTTAGAGTTAGTTTTGCAATTACTCTATACTAATTAACATCTGCACAAAGTTCATGTAGACCCACAAAAGCTTTATATCCGCAAGTCTTGTTATATATAGGACGATGTGTTTTCAGAGTTTACTTTTTTTGAAATTGACAGGGCGTCTCCTGGACTTCAATTTTTGGTTGAAACATGGCATTTATTGTAGTTAATTTTTTTAAATCATCAATTTACCAAAATTTGGCATTCAATTTTGCATTATTTTCAATAAACCACTATCCTAGATGAAATGATGAAATGACAGCCACACAGGAGGACATCAGAATACACAAAGCATATATTTTTGATTTCTGGAATGTTTGAACGCACAAGCACGTATGCACACAAGATAACCTTGAATACACAAGGCCTATGTGTGTCATCTTTACATTCTTATTAGCTTTTCATAATCATAAACAATGCACAAAATCTTGTTCCTTCCTACAGAACACTGCACAGTTATCACTGCAATAAGTTTCACCATTCTTTGTATTGTGAAAGGCTTCAATTACTTCACGTGACATTTCGTCACGACTTCTGCCCCAAATCCAGATTTTGTTCGCCACCGGCTTACATTTGAACTGTTTACGATGAAGAACCAGATTTGATCTTGCTACTTTATTTAGCAATTTAAAATGTTCCCAGGCTCTAATATCTACACAACAACCCATGTTAAATCGTGAGAGTGCCAGTCAACACCGCTCACAGCCATAATGGTGAGCGTGAAACACTCTTTTCACAAGCTGGCATAATGTAGCACATAATCTTTTAATTAACAAGCGGACAGCTGACCAATTGAAAGTTCAGTTCCTGCCAGTGCCAAATTACCTTTTCATCCACTTGACTTCGTTCACAACTATATCCTAATTAGTCCAATAAAGTCAAAGAGCGGTATAATTACTTCCCTTGTATGCCTTCCTTGGCTTTGTTACATGCTGGTTTTCATTAAGGTTGTCTTAAACAATGACGATATGTGGTTTTTATTGGCGCAACGGCCATACTTTGCCAAAGAGCACTATGAAAAAAATTACATTAAATAAAGATCAGTGATGCGTGGTTTGCAGTGACATATTGTTGATGTGACTATGGTGCTGTTATGTGGCTGAATAGGGGCCTAAAACACCATGCCCTACGGGGGGGTAAAACATACAAATATTCAAAATCATAAGGATGACATGAAATGCGTGTAACACGAATGAATGGCAGTGGTCCTTGAATTTGAAATAGGTACAGTCGACTCCCAATAAGTTGAAGTCGCTTAATAGGAATTGTCGCTTAATTGGAAGTGGAATGGAGGTCCCGTCAGTTTTGCATGCAATTCAATAGAAAGAAATGCTCATTAATTGGAAGCTAGAAGTCTCAAATTTTGGGTAATTAGAATTCTCGATCGCATTCCCGGAGAAAATTGTAATAATATTTGATAAATTTGCTAGTTTTACAGTGCGAAAGAACGATGTCTGTGCGGCCAACACTGAAAAGCATCGCAGCTGACCACAGCGCCACCAGTTCAACGCTTCCTGCAGCTTAACGGCGCTGTTAACATCGCAGCTGCTTACAGTACCTCAGACCACAAAGCAGCGAGGCAATTCTACGAGCGACCTGTGCAGTGAGTGAGCAAGCGCTGGGCCTAAAGGTTGATTCACCCGAGGGAACAGAGAAGGCGTTTTCGCAGCGAACAGCGCATCACGTGACATGCGCGTCATCCAAACGTGTCGTCCTCGTTTCATTCGCTCTCCTCCACTTGCGGCGTGGCTGGAAATGTGTCGCCGCTATTTTGACCCCTCCATTTGATGGTCATCTGCTCTCAATCGAAAAGATTCAGCATCAAATTTGTCAACATTAGTTGGATTGACATGGCTAAGAAGCAGGCAGCCGGCTTAAAAGCCACGTGTTTCATTTCCAGGGGTGGCGCAGTGGTTAACGCCTCGCTTTCATACTCAGCTACTACTTTTCTTGGCACTGAAGGAAAAGCTACGGAGGCGGAGTTTCTGCACATGTAGCACTACGTGAAGTAGTCTGTTTTGGCGCGTGTCTCATAACGCTGTGGAAAGTGATGGGGGCGCACCATCAGCGTTTCATGTAGACGCACACGCCGCTTAGCATTTGAGGTGCACGTAAAAAGGCAGGACTTTCTCACGCGTTCAAAAACGAGAAGTCACCACAGATAAAAGAAATACGAATATCTTACTGTTGTCAGCTGCGTCCTGTCTCTATTAGCTCCATGAAGAAAATAAAGGCGGAACATTTATATTTCACGTAGAAAATATGGGTGCTACTTTGGAACTACCTTCACTGGCAGTAGGGTGCCCGTGATATGGCTCCGTAGCTTTCTTTTCAGTGCTAAGAAAAGTCGAGTATGCACGAGGATTCCTCGGGCGTAGCTCCGGCTGTGTGCAAGCGACGTGCCCGCTGCTGCACTGGATTAAACTAATCACATGACTATTCGGTCCGCAGAGCAGCGGGATTTCGCCCTCGCATGTGAATCTAGCTTAACCGTTTGTCACGTTGAGCGGACAGTGTTTCCACATGCAATGGAGCTCTACGTGTATTTCAGGTGCAGTCATGGCTATGGCAAACCGCGGGCCCTATCAGACGCTAGACTGGGCGACGAAAGTCAAGATTTTGAAAGACGTGGAAGTAGGAGGCACCGCCAAGCAAGATATTGCCCGAAAATATGGCATCCTCAAACATCCTCAAGAGCAAGCGCTCGTTGCTGGACGTGTTTGAAAATGACCAGTTTTAAGTTGTCTCACAAAAGGATGCACACTGGCGCCCACCCGGAGTTGGAGCAAGCGTTGCTCGTCTGGATTCGGGAGGAGTGAATCAACCAACTTCCGCTGAGTGGCAAGATCGTTGCAGCAAAAGCCTTATCACTTGCGACCATGCTAGGCATCGAGAGCTTTGCTTCGTCCGATAGATGGCTTACACGCTTTAAGCAACGCCATGATATGGTGTTTAAAAGCGTGAATAGAAAAAGGGCTGCCGACAACATGGCAACATGTGCTATGTGGAGATAAGATAAGCTTCCCGAATACTTGGACGAATATCAGCCGCAAGGTATCTTCAATGCCGGCACGTTTTTACAGAACGTTGCCAGAGAAGATGCTGACCTTTAAAGACGATGACTGCGCTGGAGGTAAGCAGAGTAAAGAAAGAGTGATGATGATGATGATGTGTGGCGCTTTATGGCGCAAGGGCCAATTGATGGCCAAAGAGTGCCATTTCAATAGACTAGAGATATGAACAAAGATATTGTAAATGATGAGTGGCTGTAAAGGGCCTTAAAATTCCTCGCGCTAATGCGGGTAAAAACTTAAGTATTAAAATCATGACAGTGGCGTGAAATATGTGCAGTGAGAGTTAATGTCAAAAGGTCATGATAATAAGACTATGGCAGATATGTAGTCACCACAGGTCCTGCTACAGATCACCTTGAAATATGCAGTGAAAACTGTGTACATCATTAAAAACGTAAACAACAAGTGAATTTTAAAAATCGGATCCCTACCGATAAGCATCCCAGGGTGTAGTGGGAGCTGCTGTCAGTAGGGCAGTAAAAAGTGCTTTTTCCTTAGAGCGTCCAACTCATTACACTGGACGAGAATGTGGAGAATCGTAAGTGGTTCTCCACATCTCGCACACAATGGTGGATCACTGGTAGACAGAATATATGAATATGTAGAGTATGTATGCCCCGTTCTTAACCTTGTGAGTGTCACTTCTGTATGTCGCGATTTTGATAGGGGCGGCCAATGACCAAGTTGTGGCTTAATAACATCTAGTTTATTACTTGTGTGTCTATCCCACAAGTTTTGCCAGTAACCTCTGAGTTTTCCTTTCAGGAAAGGTTTCATGTCAAGTGCAGGGATTGGTATTGATGCATTAGCGGCATGGTTGCTGGCGGATGCAGCCAGCTGATCTGCCAAAACGTTTCCCTGTATCTCACGGTGTTCCGGCACCCAGCAGACTACAACATGCTGTTTGGATGAGTATAATGCGCATAAGAGTGAATAAAGGAACTCAAGAACTGGGTTTTTGCCTTTTGTAAGTGTTTTCAAGGCTTTCACCACACTCAGAGAATCCGTGTAAATTATCGCTTTTTGTAGTTTTATATGTGCAATGTGTTTACCAGCTGCAAGTATTGCGTAGGCTTCTGTGAAAACGCTTGCATCAGGATGCAGGACACCAGTATCTGAGAAGGATGGGCCAATGGCTGCGTATGAAACAGAAGTGTTGGACTTTGCGGCATCTGTAAAGAACTCAGGACATGTGTACTTTTGTTGTAGTTCTAGGAAGTATGTGCGGATATGTACAATGGGTGCGTGCTTTGTAATCTCTAAAA